GATGTTGGCATGTACACTTGCATAATCAGTATATCTACCGGTTCCGCCTTTAACTTCAGAGCAATAATTCTGTCATTACAAGCAATCTTCTTAACAACACTCCTCACTACACTTTTATGCACCACTATTGCCACACCTCTTTCAGCCCGTTCACCTCCGGAATAATACACTGTATAATCACCACTTCTTATTTCACCTTGTCCTTTCCATCGCACTTCGCTGACACCTAGAACAGACACCTCATTCTTCTGCATTTCCATTTTCAAATTCTCCAATTTGCCTGCTTGATTCAAGGTCCTTACATTCCATGTGCCAATCTTGTAACCATGAGTCTAGTGATAAGTTACCACAATTTCAGATTTTCCTTGGTTCAGTGTTCAAATCCACTGCTTCCCAAAGAAACGTTAATGGAGATTTCATTGTATAGCATCAAGTGATGGGATGACAGCAAATAATAAATGGGAAAATATGTGGAAGGAAGAGGTCATGGCCTAATTTAAGGTACTTTGCCAGCATTTGCCTGGAGGGACAGAGGAAAGTAATGAAATAACCTGAATCAAGATGTTTGGTAACCAGGATTAAATATGAACTGGGCATCTCCTGAATATAAGTCAGATGCACTACCATTTGAGCTAACTTTAAAATGAAAATGTTATGCCTACAGTGTCATAATATTCAAATAAAATCAAGTCACTTCAAATTCTTCAGGTATATTTCCTTTTCGCATCAATATCTGTGCAACAGTTAGTATTTTCTTACCTTCAACGCCATCAAGGAGGCCAGAATTTTTCTTTGGTACTCTGTTGCAATCACTTTAATTTACAGGGAAAAATCTCCATTGTCATCCTCAGAAATGCATGTCTACTTTAAAACATCTATTTTAATGCCTGCTTAAAATGTTTGATGTCCATGATTTTTATTCTCTGTAAAAAGTGTCAGCAGGCCACTGTCACCAACTTACAACTTATGATATTGCTGAGTGTCTATCTGTTCATTTATTCAACCTGTGAAATATAGCAATTTTTTTTTAAACAGTTAACAGATATTTTAAAAAGTTACTGACAGACACACAGAGACAAACTTAGATATTCTAACAAAAGTGCATTCATTCAGGTGCTTTCACTTCCAACAGCTTTCATTCATTCTGTGAAAACTGTGAAATGCAGACACACCATGCACACCTCTCACCACACTCAGACTTCTCAGTGACACTCAGTACTGTGAAGAAACGTAAAAACATAAATAGCCTCATCATTAAATTTCCCTAGAAAAACCAACTTATGAGTAAATTTTGAAACATCTTAACATCTTCTTATGATGACTGAGTAGTGATAGTCAACAGCTGTAATTTTGTCACCGCATTAGCTACATCAGTCACTGTCCAAAATTAGACTTCATTTTTGGAAAATTTCACTAATCTACTCAACATAAAGGCCAAATACTTTGGAAACGAGAATTTTTCACAATATGTTCTCCTCATTTACTTGTGTTAATGAACTGCAACCCATTAATGTTCATACCTAACAATAAACTTGTAAATTTGTTTCCTGGAGCATGTAGTGAAGTTGTGCAGAACAAATGGGATTGGCTGCTCACAGCTTACCAACAGATTCAAGTAGGAATAATTTTACAGTGACTCTTCCCTAAAATCACCTCCACCAATCAGTAGTAGACAGATAATTACAACACAAATTCTACATGACACTACACCGTAAACTTACCAAAAGTGACAATCTACCTTAAAATCTACAAAAGATATTATTTTATTTAACAGATAATTTGTATCAGTACAATGTATTAATGTTCCATTGGTAACTATAAGTGCCTGCACCATGCATTCTTACAACTTTCAAAATCCCTCTTGGATATATTAGAATGTAAAATTAGATAGTGTATGTAAATGCACGTAGTAATTTGTGTGTGTGTGTGTGTGTGTGTGTGTGTGTACGTTTATGTCTGACAGTCCGAGTGAGCAAGCTGGATACATACTTGCTCTGCCCACCATCTGCACAGCACGAACTCCCTTCCGGAATGTAGCCACTGTGTGTTTCAGCCCAAGCGTGCCGGAGAGAGACAAGTATAGTGTTAGTTCAGGGTGTTAGGTGTCACACATATCAGCGGTGGGGTGGGTAGGGCTGGAAGACTACCATTCTTTGGGGCAGTGCTCATGTGCACTAATGGGTTTGCAGAACACTGGGGTCCATTCCTGTTACAGGGTGGAAGTAGGAATATATCGACAGAAGTACTAGGAGACTGTTCATGATGCAAAGAAATTACCTGATGGCTCTGCTTGAAGAAATGGAATTAAAATTTCATTCAACATAATAATAAATCATAGTAAATAAATCCAGTTAAATTATTCACAAGAAATTAATTTCTAATAAAGATGCTAACACAATTTTAAGGGGTGTAAGAAGGTAGAGAAACATATATCTACAGGACAGCTGCAGAGGTAACTAGCTTTGGAATGGGGGATGTTACTTGTAACTTCAAAATAATGCAAGGTGATATGAGGGAGGTTCAGGGGTCATGAACGTATTAGAAGGCCTACCTAATCTCTGCCAGACATAATTTATTTACATAGTACAACATGTCAAAAGCAGTAATTAAATAATAAAATTCCAAAAAATTTGCTACAGGGGGGCACGCGGTAGCACAGTGGTTAAGGCACTATGCTACAAGTCGGAAGGTCATGGGTTCAAATACTGATAGGGTCATTGGATTTTTTCAGTTGACCTAATCCTTTCGGCCGCACTATAGCCTTGGGGTTCACTCAGCCTCTAACAGAAATGAGTACCAGGAATTAAATAAATAATTTTCCTGGGGAGTAAAGCGCGGCCGGAGCATAAGGCTGACAATCTTACCGCCATCTTTGAGCCAACTGTCTAGATAATGTGGGGCCCTCAACGTCTCACAACTCTATGGGCCTTCGTGGCCTATTACAGGGATAGCTTTACTTTACTTTACTTTACTTTATTTTGCTGCAAAGACTCTCATATCTGTCAATACCATGTCAGATATTTACCTTGCATTTTTCACAGGAGAAGTGTTGGTTATGAATAACTTGATGTAATATTCAAATGAATTATTATATACTTTTATACTGAGCATTTATAAACCTATTCTACAGAACTCTTGACATATAAAATCTTGCAATAATTAATTAAAACACCCCTCTTATATGGCACTTCCATAAAAAAATGACATTCCATAATTTTTGTATGTTAAGCTGATTAAAAATAAAATCCTGAAAATGAAGAGGTGAATATGACCTAATATTCTAGAACATCTACTTGTAAAAGTATATTCACTGTGAAATCCTGCAATTAGATGACAGGACACTGAAGGGAGATCACCTACTCAATGAGAAAGACTACACTGTGAGCAAATTATTTTACATGTCCTTCTAACAGCGTCAACATGGCATAGCAGAGAAAGAAAGTAAATTTCATGTTTGAATTGCCATTGTTTAAATTTCCATTCTTATTGATACTAAATTACAATAGGAAAGAAAACAGAGTAATTAGCTGGCCAACGATTTAAACCCACACAAAAAAAGAAAATCACTTCATGATTTCAGTAGAAACTTGTACAATGATCTCTGGTTTCTTACCATAATTTGGAGATGTTCAACTTACCGGTTCTTTCCATTTTGAAAAGTACATCTGAATTTAGCTGTTACAACTTTCACTTCTGAACAAAATTCATAACAAATAACACATGCAGAAGAGGCCAGTTAATTTTATCAGGCATAATTTGGGGTGCCTCTAAATGGGGTGTTGCTAGGTAAGTGGATGGAAGCAGCTCCAGCAGTCTGCTCTTGGGATGGGGAGAGAATTCAGGGGGCTGAACTGTCCCCTGAGCAAACAAAGCATTGCTTTGTTTTGATGCAAAATGACAAAGGAGACCTCAGGCTATGTACTATCAGGAGGCATCTGTTTCCAAAAGCTACCAACTCTGACAACCAAAACTTAGAATCACTTCTTTACTTGAATCACCAATATGTATACTGTCACAGAAGACTGGACACGTGACAATTATTTTAAAAGAGTGCAAATGTATTAGTAATGTCCAATAAACCCAACAATCAAAACTAAGAATCCACAATTATTTGTCACAGAACCCCGAACAGGTGACAATTTAGTATCAGAAGTGGGATTACGGCCTTAAACACAACACAATATATACTTATATCTGGAGATTTATCAAACTAAAACATTGATATTTCTATTAACTAATAGGATCCAAAGTAGTTTATTTATCATAACACATACATCAATTTGTAAATAATTTTAATTATGGCATCTCCCAACACTTTGGGGAAGCCACATATATCTTTGAAAAAATTAACAGTTTTAAATTATATCGGCTATTGGAGATCTAAATTAAAACTATCTATTGAGACACGTGTTCTACCAGGCCAACCATGATATATTCTACTGATGTTTGTCTGAGTATCTACTGCATACAATTCACATATATGTAAAGGAGCAGCACTGTTTTCCAAAATATTTGATTTGCAAATTTTCCTTATCCATATAACAGGCACAAAGGTCTCTTTTGTGACATTCAGTGTTTCAGAATTAGTGCAAATCAATGGTGAATGTTCCACTCTGGCTCGTAGTACACCATGAGACCGCCAAAGCTGAAGTAATGTAAAAAGTTTTAGACATTCAATAGAAGCTGTAATGCTTTTCTGAGAACCAGCTGCATGCATTGTGTAGCTTACAGACTAAAGCATTTCTGAGTTTCACATGTGACAAGTCAAGGAAACTGGTGGTCTACCAAACTAGAGATGTCAAAACTGTGGTTTTGAAAGTGTATTGCCACACTAGAGACAGAAGAGAATATAAGTGATGAAATTTGAAGCCGTTTATTTGTCAGGCTGGAGATGTGGAACATATATAGATAAGATTTATGACAAATTTGTGGCGTTTATTGCAAGATTTCTTTATATGCAGAACATCTGTCAAGTTCTCTCAGCCTGCCCATCTGTCTGTATGCATGAAAAAATCTGAGAACTGCTTGACAGGTGTTCATTAAACTGGATATTTGGGGAATTCTATGAAAAATTAGCAAGGCATTTCAGCTTTTATTTAGATTAAATAATTTTAAAAGGGCAACTTATATGAAGACCAGCATACATTTCTGTGTTTACCTCACTAAATATTTATCAGATAGAAAAAAACTACATATTATAAGTCCAATACAGCTTCTCCTTTAAGTCTTAACAAGTTAATTTAACAAAAGGGATATTATGAATACATTTATGAACTTTGTGTATTTAATAATCAACCTGGCCTCCTGAATACAATTGCAATTAATGAAGGAAGAAAAAGAAAGAAAAAAGAAGAAAAGGCTTAGTGAGTTTAGATTATCCTGAAATCATGTTTTATTCTACTAGTGCAGTGCTCTACTACAATGTGACTCTGAGGCATAAGGTAAATAATTTTAATAATTTAATTTTAATGATGATTATTCACTCAGTATATAGTAGTTTTGACCTCTCACCAATGTGAGTAAGCATTACCTAACAATGAATAGCTGTTTGTGTATTTCATGTTTATTACAAGGATAGATAGTTCATTACAGTCTTAATTCAATATTATATTGCAGCATCCTGTTGCATATTATTTATTATTCAAGTCATTGATACAAATGTCTTACATGCAACACATGTTTCTGAAACTTATTTAAAAGTTTCTTCACACCACTCTATATATTTTGACTGACACTGGTCATCACCAGGCATTTAAAATTGTTAAATTATTTAATTTATAGTACCTGTTGCTGAATGCACCTGTCAAGTGTACCTTATATACTTTTATAATCTTATTTAATTTTATGTAGGTCTTTTGAAAATGTGAAATAAAATAATGTTTAAGTTAAGGGAATCAACTTGATTGTCTGGAGTTGATAGATTTTGAAAACAAACATTCCCAGATATCATTTGTGGTTCCGCTGCCAGCTACAATGCAAAGTAAGTATGAAGGCAAGAGGCTACCAACCTCACCTAAAAAAGAGCAACATTCTATTATACTGTATTACAATATGTAATGGTGTAACAACAACAATAACAACATCAACATCAACATCAATAACATCAACATCAACAATAATGGTAGCAGCATCAGCAGCAGCAACCAGCAGCAACAGCAGCAATAGTGGGCGTCCGACACAAGCAACCTAGTACAAATCAACCTGCTCCATACTGCTCGCTTGCACAAGTGGAGTGGGGGAGAATGTGTTTCCATGTCGGTTTCATTAAACTGGGTAGAAAGGCAGACGAAAGTTAATGGTGGGAGGTCAGCCAGTGGGAAATAACTGTGCAGACCTGTGTCAAGTCATTCTTTTAAGGGACTTTCATATCTAAGTATCCCTATCTCAACAACTGCCAGTACATAGTAAAATATTTATACACCAAAGCTATTTAAGTAAACTGACCAAAATATACTCTCAAAATACAGTAAACAATAGCTTTATGATCTTTACAATTAAGCAAATTATATAATCACAGGATATTAAGCAAAAAATATTCTATAATGTACAATGAAATTTGTAAACAAGTACACAGAGTTTTATGATTCCAAGCATGATCTACTTTTTAAAATGTTACTTAATATCAAAGGAAATGAGGGTGTTTATGTACCATGTAACACTTAAAAATGTGGCAATACTATATTTTTATCATTTCCTTTCCTCTATTCTTCACATTTTGCAGCTCCTTTTATAAATAGACTGTTTTGCTTCTCCAACAATCTTATCAACTTAATTTCAAAATACCAAATTCTGAGAGTCTCAATGAGACTAGTTCCAGTAACCACCATGTAAAACTTTACAAAGACGACCACCATGACATTCAAGTTAGAAGTGATACACTGTCCAAAAGATCTCTGTTACTAATATCTGCTCATATACCCACTATAACTTGAGTAACTGTACCAGAAACTGTTCCTTCATTAGTATAAGTATTTGGAAAATAAAAATGCTATAGATTAAATAAAGCTAATGTTCTGATCAAAAGACTGATAACTTTAATT